ACCCACAATTAAGCTTAAAAAAATCAAAGCTAGGGATGAAATATGAGTTTCTATGAAGTGAAAAAACAAAGCAAATGTTTCTTTCAATGTTTCTTAATGAGGTGTTAACTCTAAGGCAGGGGTGTCAAACTCGATTTCATTGAGGGCCACATCAGGGTTGTTTGACCGTGAGGGGGCCGGCGGGGCGTGTGGCCAGGGTCAGCTCAACATCACTTGTGTCAGGGATCCCTGGGGTGGCCCAAAGTGCTCTGCCAGTGAAAATCGGCTCCTGAGCTCCCTTGTAGGCTGCAATGGTCTCCTGCAACCCTCTGCCAGTGAAAATGGAACTCGGGAGGACCACGAGTAGCCCTCCTGAGCTCCATTTTACTGGCAGAGGGACCGCGGGCCGGTCCTTCGCTGTTTCCAGGGTAGACCTGTGGGCCAGATCTAAGCACCCTATGGGCAGGATCCAGCCCCCAGCCCCCAGAATAGGATCCTGCTCTAAGGCTAATGTATTTTTACAGAGAGTCCAGGAACATGCTCAGAGGAGGAGGAAATTTGAGATGCAACTGATTCCATTATCTTCATACCTCCATCTTATTAATGGAAGAGGAAGACGTTCATTACTATGTATCATCCAAGACCAGATCTTCCTATTTATCCATAGAAAGGATAAATTTTATTCTATATCTTCGCATGGATTATAGCCAGGGCTGGATTCCAGCAAACACCACTGATAGTTTGCTCGTAGACATGCTGCTCACATGCCCTCTTGATGTGTGCTGCACAGATATGCACAGTGCAATAAAAATTGTTCTGTGCATGCGCAGAAGCGAAAAATAAGATGGTGGCATCTACGGTGGCACCCAGAGAACTGGTTCAGGGGCGTGGCAGGCCTGGCTTGCTGCTGGTTCCAGCAACCTAGGCCGCCAAACCACTACCAGTTCGGTTGAACCAGTCTAAACCGGTAGGAACCCACCACTGATTATAGCACTGCAAAATAAGAATTACTATATATTTGTATTTAGAAAAACCCTTTTTTTAAAATCAGTCCTTTTCCTGTTGCTTATTAATGTGTTACTACGCTGTTCTATGTCAATGTCGCAACTTGTTGACCATTCCTGAATATTTATGAATTCTCTTCTATGTACACTAACAGACATTTTCCTTATAATATTCTGCTTTAATATCTTCAGTAATAAACCAAGCCGTAGCCAGGGTATAACAATTTTATGAAGTTCAGCATATTAACTTGATCAAAGACTGAAGGAATTTTGCTCAAAGACAATCTCAGATAAGACTTCAGAGTCCCATCTGTTTTAAAATGCTGAGCTGCATGCATTAACACAACCACCTGACACCACAATATACATTCTCATTGAGTCCAAGAAAGTGGATGCCAACAAAATTTGCCACCTACTGAATGTGGCTTGGTTTGAAATCTAGCACAAGAGAATCCAGCTAATCAGAAATAAAACCACCCTACTTTTTACAGAAGTGCCAAAACAATGAATGTTGTTTCCATGACAATGTAACATTGAAATATAATGAGGAAAGATGGGGAAAGTATCTTTGAAAATATCTTGGAATACTGTAGCAAAGACATTTTAAAGAAAGGGATAAAATATTGTGATTTACCCCTGTATATGGGGCTTGAAAAGGGACACCGTGGCTCAGTGGCTAAGGCAAGGAGCTTGTTGATCAGAAAGGTCGGCAATTCGGCGGTTCGAACCTAGTGCCGCGTAACGGAGTGAGCTCCCGTTACTTGTCCCAGCTTCTGGCAACCTAGCAGTTCAAAAACACTTAAAAATGCAAATAGAAAAATAGGAACCACCTTTGGTGGGAAGGTAACAGCATTTTGTGCACCTTCGGCATTTAGTCATGCTGGCCACATGACCACTGAGACGCCTTCAGACAGTGCTGGCTCTTCACTTTGAGCACCACTGCCTAGAATCGGGAACGACTAGCACATATGTGCAAGGGGAACCTTTACTTATGTGGCTTGAAAACATGGGGTTTGAAATGTTGATTAAATTCTATTTTCTACTAGCTACAGGGGGTAAGTTAGCAAAATCTAAAGGATAACAACCTATTCTATATGGGAGGTTGAATCTGGATAAATATCCTGAAAGGTAGAATGGAAATGATAAAATGATGCTATGACCACATGTGAACCTACATGATCTTTATATTGACATTGAGTCTTTATTGATTAGCCCATGGGCCACATCAAAGTGCAAAGTTCCAGAAACAAATTATTACTACAATTTGATAAAA